GTGTTTAGAAAAGTTGTTTGGTACTACAACAAAAATTGTTATTTGGTTGTAATTGTTGATGAACACACTGGAAAAAAGAAAACAAAAACTAAATACATTTTTACTTTATTGCTCAATAAGATAAAAAAAAAAATCGAGAAAGACCAGTTTTAGGACTATTACTTTTCACAGTATTTCCACACATGTTGGAATAAGTTCAGATTAGCTGTCATATAGCTACAGGGTACTGACATTTTCTATCCTCTTACATTGGGTAAAACTCATTGAAGGATGCCAGGTCATCTTGCCCCAAGAGATATTTGCCAGTGTTTAATCTGTTTTCAGGAAAAATGCAATCTATCATCTCACTAATCCCTTGTCCTCTGCCAAAGCCTGATCCTGCCTCAGTTCTTGTCTGCTTGTCCTTACGTCTCCTTGAGAATGTGTTCCCAGATGTGTTGACACCTGAAGTTTGGGTTAGGTCAGTGTTGTTAAGTCCAAGCACGCATCCGAATTACCAGGAGGGCTTGTTGAAATAAATTGCTCTGTCCACCCCCAGAGTTTCTGATTTTGTGTGTCTGGGGGGTGCTGGGGGCGGATCCTGACAGTCTGCATTTCCAGCTAACCCCCAGGGAATATCAATGCTGCCAGTCTGGAGACTACACTCAGAAAACCATGAAGTTTTCCTCCTAAAAAGAAAAGACGATGCTACAAAAAGGTCCGAGATTCCTCAAAGGATTTAGTTGGTTGTAAAACATCAGAGACTGCTTCTTCCCTGGGGTATAAAATATCTTTTTAAAGAAGTTTCTCACCCTTTTGTACCTTTTAAAATACTTTAGAAGTATTTTATTTTTGAGACAGAGTCTGGCTCTGTCACCCCTGCTGGAGTGCAATGGCTCAATCTCAGCTCACTGCAACCTCTGCCTCCCGGGTTCAGGCAATTTTCCTGCCTCAGCCTCCCAAGTAGCTGGGACTACAGGCATGAGCCACAATTACAGGCATATCTGGCTAATTTTTGTATTTTTAGTAGAGATGGGGTTTCACCATGTTGGCCAGGCTGGTCTCGAACTCCTGACTTCAGGGGATCCGCCAGCCTCGGCCTCCCAAAGTGCTCATCTTACAGGCATGAACCACTGCATCTGGCTGAAAAGTATTTTTAAAAATACAAAATAAAAATACTTGAAAATATCTAAAAAGTAAAAAAAAACTTTAGGATTTTAGGAAAAAACCCTGAGAAATAGAAAGTAAATGTTTTCACTTTCACATAAACAATGGGCATACATGGACATAGAGTAGACTAGATACTGAAGAGTACGAAAGGCAGGGGTGGGACTGAGGGTTGAGAAATTACCTGTGAGGTACAATGTACACTATTTGGGTGATGAGTATACTAAAAGCCCAGACTTCACCGCTATACAACACATGCACCTAAGAAATCTGCACTTGTTACTCCCTACATTTATACAAATTTTGAAAACTTTAAAAAAATAATCCTAAACTGGTATTGTTAGAGCCTGGTTAGACAATCCGCACAGGAAGATTTTTTTTGCTTCGTTTGAAAACAATAAAGTGTCAGGAGTATTTCATAAATGAATTATGGGCCCACATTGTATTGGCTCTGTTGTCAGAGAAGGACATATTCAATAATGATGCATTTTTGTTTAGTACATTAATCCAAATTCTCATGAAGTAGCAGTCAGGTGGTGGTTCCAATGCTGAACTTCATAAAGAAGGTATAGGAACAATTTAAGATGAATTTATCATCAACTCTTTAAAAAGGAATTCTTAATGCACATTCACTATTTAGACATTCAAACTTTATGGGATACCAACTTCCTGGCAAGCTGTGTGCTGTTGTATGGCAATCGAAGATACAGAGTTAAACAAAACACAATCTGTCTCCTTAACTGAAGACATAATGGACTTCAGAAAGTGCAGAAAGTCAGCCTAGAAATGGAGCTTAGTAACCATTTGGTCTCGCAGTTCTCCAAGTATGGTTCTGACAGAGAGTGGTGTCATCTGGGAACTTGTTAGAAATGCAAATTCTTAGACCCAGCCCTACTGAGTCAGACACAGGCTGGCAGGGGTGCCATCAACTGTAACAAGCCCTTAGGTGATCCTGATGCATGCGGAAGTTTGAGGATCAGCAAGGTAGCCCAAACATATTTTACTTTTCTTAGGTCTCAGCCCACTGACACGCTGATGAAAAGTTTTGCAGATGACTTTGGGTGGCTCACAGTATAGGTTTAAGGCTGAATCTTGTCCAGGCTCTTACTTTTTACAATTAAGCAAAGTAAATACCAAGAGTTAAGTGACTAGCTAACTAGTTTAACAGCAAATTAAATGGCAGAATGGTGTCTCCATGCTTAAGTCTATCAATTCCAAGTTCCTGTCTCTACCCCTCCACTTACACTGCAGCAAAAGCCAAATGTGGGAAGAAATACAAAGAACTGAAGCCACTAATTTATGATTTTATTTTAAATATATATATATATCTTGCCCATAAAGATGTGACTACTCTTCCAGAGAAGACATGGATGATTTTTTTTTTTTTTTTTGTAATGAGGAAAAGCATGTGCTCCTGAAAAACCGATATGTACCTAGAAATTGTTCTCTGCCAAGAACATAGTGCAACATTCAGGCTCATTAAAAAATAATGTTCTCATGTTTCACATGTTCTTGCTAAGAGCTGGGCATTATTGTTGGTAGGTCAACTGTGTCTACTTAATCACACACCAGAAAACAAGGAAACACGAAGAACAACAAAAAAAGGTAAAACAGTGTTGAGTAAAAGAAGACATTAACAAAACAGTATTAAATGCATCCATTTCAAACACAGGCAAAAAGAATCCAGGATCATGATTTCCTGGGTGGACGCTGAGGTTGGGAGAGGTAGGAGGAGGCTAACATTCGATTTCTTCATTGGATCGCTGATTACACAGTTGTGCTACTTCCATTCAAGTTAACGACTTGGATGCAATTTTCTATATGTTGTGAGTCAATAAAATAGTTAAAACCCACATAAAACCAATACCTAAAGGTTTCAATTATGCCAAGGTTAGTTTTAAAAAGGTGTTTTACATGGAAGAAATATTTTAGACCTATCTATTCCAGAGGTAAAGGGTCATTACAGCGTAGGGCATACCAGGAGGGACCTTGAAGACTATCATTTCTCAAAAGTATGGAGAGCAGACAGGAAATCATTTCCATTAGTTCAGAGCAGGTGAGGTCAGAAACACTGAATCAGCATGAGCTGGGAAGGTGTTTTAGAAATTAGTAATGGGATACACACTGTCTCAAAACAAATGATTCTATGACTATCCAAGACACGGTATGTTTCACCACTGTTGGTTTCTTGGTTTGAAAATTAAAGATTTTTATTTCCCTCTACCCCAACAAAATTTTACAAATTGGAAACTGCTGAATTCCGGAAGTTTCAAAGTGTAGCATTCTATTTTTAGATACTAACAAATAATTTTTAATTTCTTATTGAAATGATATTACCTGGAACTATGCCCCAATGGGAGTAAAATGTATTTAAATGTATAAATGCAAATCCAGAAACTGAGATCACATTGTGTTAAAATGTTCAAATCCTTTGACCCAAATTCCATGTTTTTTCTAAATAACCATAGATGAACAAAAATTTATATAAAGGTATATTTTAAACGGTAATTTTTAAAAGCATAAAGATACCTTATACAGAACTCTGGAATTATTAAATAAATTGTAACCCTTCCAGACCAAGAACAATGATATGTTTAAAAAACATGTTCTTGAAGAATAGTTATTGATATAGTAAAACACAGAGTATGATTAAATAAAGAGCAGGATATAAAAGTAATACAGAATGGACTGAGTTTTAAGAATTAAGCAAAACTATATTTGTAAAAAATGTAAGAATGTTAGAAGTTCTCATTTTTGTGGTTGAATACTGTGTAACGTCTGTTTTTTTCCTAAAGCTTTCTGATGTTTTCCAAATTAAACACATTAATTTTAAAATTATGAATGTATCAGATACTCTAAGGAAATCTAAACAGGTATGAAGAATAAAAAGAAAAATTATTCTTTCCTTTTCTTCCGTCATTGTCCAAGATACATACAGAAATAACATTTATAACATTAGAGAATATTATTTATTTTCTCTTTTATGTATTTATAAAGGTATATACACACATAGCTTTTTTGATGTAAAAAACCACATTCTTTAAAACTTGTATTTTTCCTTTAATATTTTATTAACATGTTCTTTAGTTTGCCTTAACTTAAATTCCCTATCTCAAGTTTTGTTTGGAAAAAATACTTTGTGCTAGAAAATGTTAAGTAGTATTTTTCTTTCCTGAAGATAAACAGGAAATTAGAAAACCCTCTTTAGATACAGGATGATGAGGATACAACAATGACAAGTTTTCTTTCGCTTATCTTAATGAGCACGTGGGTTACTAATGTATCATCCTTTTGGTTCTAGTCTTAAATAAAATGTTTCCTTCTTAGAGATTACCATCACCCTTAGCAGCAGGGCAGTACCTTACGCTTTTCAAAAGTTAAAAAAAAAAAAAAAGAAAAAGAACTTCTGTAATATAGCTTTCCCAAATATTCAGATGTTTCGTACTCTTATTATACTATTGAGAGAAGAATAACTTAAAGAATAAGGTTAACCTAAGAATAAAATAACTTAGTTATAAATAAATACAAACAAAGACTTAAACCTATACATAAAAATTAGCTCTTCTCTAAGTAGGGAGAAAATAGAGCTGAGGAAAACAACCAACGTGGAACATATATTTATATGCTTAATTAATAATATAACCATGGTATTATCAATAAGACCAACGTGCATGGATTTTGGGGTTAATTTCTCCTTCACCATGACTCGTGAAATGAGAGAAACAGAATAGTTTTAGTAGGTGACAAGAAATATAACCATTCAATATTGTGGATGAGAAGAGAAAAAACACTGAAATACCACCTGTGTAAGAAGTCATATACAAGAAAGAAATAAAAGCTCTGACAATATGAGCCCAGATTTTAAAAAAGCCATTTATTTAAAAAAACTGGTTTGTCAAATCACATACACGAGCAGATACACAACTACCAAAGTGGCCTGTAATAGACACCAGTGGGGCGATCACCACACAGTACCTGAAAAATACAGCTAAAAAAAGAGGAGTCTGTTGAGTATTTCAGATTCCTACTTGACTCCTTGTTGAATGGCTTTAAGTTAGCATATAGTGAGTGAGAGGTAGAGTCCCAAGTATAATAGCTGATGCCTCAGGGCTCCATTTAAAAACAAAACAAAAACAAAACCATTTCCCCCTCTGCACAAGGGATGCCTATCCTATTATTTTTTTTCCTTTGCAAAAACAGAAGCCAAGTTTCTCTTCCCAAATGGTTCAGCATTCCCAATCAAAAAGTGGTGTGTGGTAACCTAGGTATTGTGCTTGTTGAGTCATTTAATTCTCTTCACCTTCTGATTCAGATTCTAGGAGAGAAGAAAGAAAGAAGTTAGGTATTTCCGCCCCCCCCCCCCCCCCCCCCCCCCCCCCCGCCATTCCTCTAATTAAGGTCATGAGTTTCTACAGTCACCAACTCAGAAACCTGCCATTACCCCAGCATATTTTTACCCTAGGCACCCCTTATAAGGTAAAACAGTCACATGAGAACAGATAGCAAACTCTTGCTCTTTTCTGCTTTAGGTAAATTTTGCCTGTCTAAAAATGCAACATGCATATATATATACAAATATTTAACATATAATATCAAATACATAAATGTATATATTACATATATTAAATGTATACATATAAATAAAATTTGAATATATTTGAGTATATATAAAATTGAACAATATAACTTTTCTTCTTTGGATTACCTAAGATAAACTTTTTATTCTTAATCGAATTCACTCTTTTTATTGACTGATTGATTGATTGAGATGGAGTCTTGTTCTGTTGCCAGGCTGGAGTGCAGTGGCACGATCTTGGCTCACTGCAACCTCCACCTCCTGGGTTCAAAAGATACTCCTGCCTCAGCCTCCTGCATGGCTGGGATCACAGGTGTGTGCCATCATGCCCCACTGATTTTTTGTATTTTCAGTAGAGATGGGGTTTCACCATGTTGGCCAGGATGGGACGTCGTGATCCACCTCCATTGCCCTCCCAAAGTGCTGGGATTACAGGCACGAGCCACCATGCCCGGCCCTGAATTCACTCTTATCCATTATTAGTCTTCTACCTTGTATTTCCATTATTTAAAATTGCCAGTTAAATGGTAAAGGTGTCATAAAAATCTATAGAGTTTCATAATATGTGATTAAGCTAAATGTATTTTTCTCCTTTTACATCTATTGATAGTTTCTTATTTTCCTCCATCAGAGTAGATAATTCAAACATTTCATTTCTTTTTCTTTTTTTTTCAACATGTAGAAATTTTTATAGCCATGATTTCAGAAAGCAGAGCTAAGATGTCAGCAAAAGGTTTGATACAGAAGATACCTCAATAATTTTAGTTTTAGGAAAGCAAGTAAAATCTGTGGAAGAGGTAAATATTTTGATGGATAATGAGACAGCGTTTAAAGGCCATCAAAATTTTTAAACAGAATCATACCTTCTTCTGCATTTTGTAACCACTCAACAAATTTCTTCATCTGGTCAAGAAAAACACTTTTGCCTTTAGCAACATGTGCTTCCTTATACCATTTCAGTATTGCTTCTTCGCTCAGTACATCAGCTGCAATTTTAAATCAAAATTCCAAAGTTACTATACAAATGTCAAGTTTTAAAACAACTTCATGTTTCCTCTACTACATTAAGAGAAAACAGATATATTAGCTAGGTTTCCTTCAGGTTTTAAAGAAAAAATAAACTATTTTTTGTCCAAAACTCTAAATCCACAAATGTGCTTGGATATTCTCAAGATACCATTAATTGAGGGTATTTAATGTTAAGAATAGGAAGGAGAATATAAAAATGAGTGTACATATTCTCCCAATGTTCTGATGGGTTGTTCTAACATTCTTCTAATGTTCTAATGTTCCAGTGTTTCCATAGGTTGTTGTTTGGGAATTTGTAGTGGGAAACAAGACAAAAAACAGGTATAAAGGATATATTATTGTTCCCGAGAAGGGCTCAATTCATTACAAATACTGCTGAAGCTGTACAATGTTAATAAATTACTCTAAAATATAATTTCAACTTATGAAAATGACAGAAACAATTTAATATTGTTTTCATTTAAAACATCACTGACATTTTCATAACAAATATTGGCTTTTTTTCTTTTCAAAGAATTATTGGCTCTTGTAAAATGTTCTTGAGTTAAATTGAAGAGACTGAGCTGACTAAAATGAACATAATTTGTTTATGAAAATGAAAGTTTTTTTTAAACCTGTTTATTATTATCATTAAAAACACTACATTTTGCAAAGGAAGCAAAGAAGTCTACATTTACTTATAGAGACTGGATGCAAAAACAACAATCGGGAGTCCTACAGAATACTCTTAGCTTCTAGTTATTTTAGCTCTTTGTTTCCAGCTTTGCACTGAGATGAAAGAAATTTCTACCAGCCATCAGAGCCTAATTGTCATAAAGTTGAGGAGCAGGCAGTTGTATCCTGAGGAAGTGATCTGTTATTGTATAAGACTGCCTTGCAGAGGCTTTTCGAGAACATTAACAGGGATTTTAAAAGTCCCTTTTATATAATTTGTGAATTATCTTTAAGATGCTTGTGATTAGACCAGTAATTATCAAACTGTTTTGATCATGTCTTCCTGCCTTTAGGATAATTTTAAGCACATACACCCAATATATGGATATTTTTGAGTTTATAAATCATATTCATGTACTATTGAACTATCATTATTAATATTCTAAACAAACAATATAATTTAAAAATGTTACAAACATGGAAAAGAGAATTGTTTTTTTCTCCACACCTTAATGGATTGAGGATGATACAAAGTACAGGTTGGAAAGATGATGTATCTGCAGTTTAGTGATATTATTTGTCTGAGTTTTTCTTTTGAAAGTTAAGAGCTCATTCCTGTGTTTTATTGCCCCACAGAGGCTGAACGAGACCATGCAACTACTAAAACGCATGTCAATGTCAGTGCTTGTGAAAAGCACACTAAATGATAGGTAAAACCAATCAAATGCATTGTTTATTGCAAATCTTGTGCCTTGATATTCTTAAGTTACCATTAGTTGAGAATATTTAATGTTAAAAATAGAAAGGGGAATTTAAAGTAAGAGTCTACAAAGTAACCGTGCAATGTTGAGTTCTTAGAAGAACCCAAGTTGGTAATGACTACTTGCTGAAAGATCAAACTTCTGATACCCAAGAATTATTAATTAAACGCTACTGCAGTATCTACACAGAGCACCTTATGAGGCAAAGCATGAACATCAAAGAGTTTAAGAAGAAATTCAACTTCTATTTAGTGAAAGGAAAAGTCTGAAAAGGAAGGAATCCCTTGAAGGACAAAGAATCCAGACAATTTCTTCCCCCACTAAGGATAAAGCAGGAAAAACAGTAATTAAAACTGAGAAATCATTTTTGGTCGGATGTTCCATAAACACCTATTAGGAATATAGAATAGCACTAAAAGACAGTAAGAAAACAAAACATTGTATGATGGCTGGCACATAGAGATTAGAATATATGTTTTTCCCTTCTATCTGGCCAACTTCTTCCTGATGTTTGGTAAGATACATGCACCTCTTGAGAGCCTTCACTTGTCCCCCTCCAAATTAGCTTTGACAAGTTAGGTGCCCTTCCTCTGTTTTCCTCGGATACCCTCTTTGTGAGCCTTATTTCAGCAACTGACATGGTGAGTGCAATTCTTTGTTTTCTTCTACATTCTGAAATTCAGGAAGTCAAGGACTCTATTTTGTTCATCTCATTTCCAGCATTTAATGAAAGACCTGCCCTATAGTATCCATTCAACACATGTATAGTAAACAAATTTGTCATCTTAGCAAGAAAATACAAATATTTCTCAATTTGTAGAGTTCTAACATGTTCATGAGGATCCAGGAGAAAACATTGTAAAAGTGGCTTGAGAAATGCTGTATTTTAGGTCATGTTGGTTCTTTAGAAAGTTAGGCTATAACTATGTCACTTGAAACTTTTGAAATTCAGAAATTTTTTATTAGGAGTGTCACGTAGGGACACAAGTAAAAAATAATTTACCCTAAGAATGCTGGGAATTTATGCTCAGAAGGGCACTCACCTTTTTTTAGAACTAGAATAAAAAACTCCTTTTAGAAAAATTTGCATGCAGGATAGAATGTAACCTAAAAAATTTCTGCAAACAAGAAAACCCATGATAGAGATAACAGCACTTGACAAGGAAGTTTTCTACATTTTAGACCATGCTGAGTCTATGGCACTCGTTTTCAGGGAAAAAGGAAGTGAAAATTATTTTAAAAAGTCAATAATGTGATGCCTGAAAGTTAGCAATGGATTTACTCTTCCTTACTGCCTCAGAAATACACAAATCTAGATTTTAATACAGAAACAGAGTCTTTGCAAAATAACCAATTGCTACCTTTTTCTCTGCTATTATTTACTTTATTTGCTTTTATTTCACTGTTATTTATATAAAAGATTTATAAATCTTTCAATAATTATATTCACCTAAGTAATTAGGTTTGCCAGTGAGGACATTGCTAATCATATGCCCAAGTTTCTGTTATCCTTAAGTTCTGGACATGTTGGGAAAGGGGAGGGTTGTGTGTCTGTGTCTCTCTGTGTGTGTATGTGTGTGTGTGTGTGTGTGTGTGTGCACACGCGTGCTAAGAGAGATACAAAAATGAAAAATAAAAAGGAGAAACGGTTTCCATTACATTTTAAAAAACTGTTTTAGAGCACTATGTTTCTTATGACAAACTAAAGGAATCCACAGAAACTTGATAAAAGAAGCAGAAGACACTATTTCATATTTGTAATATGTGTATATGTACATGAAATCAAAGGTAAGTATAATCTTGAACATATTAGTGGAATTCATAGAGTCTGTTGCTTCTTGAATTCTATACACTTTACACCAGTCGTCCCGGTATAACAGCCACAATATCACCTTGGAAACTTGTTAAAATGCAAATTCTCAGGCCCAACTCTGGCCCTACTGAATCAGAATCCCTGGGATAGCTGTGTTTTATAACAAGCTCCCTGGGTAATTCTTAGGCATGTTAGGAAAGGAGAGCTTTAACACGCACTGATTATTACATCTTTCAGACATATAAAACACAGAATAAGAGCATCCAAATCTTTACAGAAACAAATCAAATACATATCTCCTGGTGCACAAAATAAGAGCAAAGGAAAAATCTGGCAAGAAAGAGAGAAGATGGTAAACACAGTTAACACAGCACTGCTCTTAATACTGGTACGGAACAACCATTCCTCAGGGATTCCATGTTCTCAAGAGAACATGTAATTATTTCACTTAGGAAAACAGACTATATATGTCATTTTGCGGAAAATAACAAAATTACCTAGAAAATGATATTTAAAATGTTAGCTCAGTGATATATTCTAGGTTTCCATTTTTTAAAAAGTTTCCCAATTTCATTACCAAAAATAAGGCAGAATTAAAACTGATGTTGACACTCACCGTTCCTGTGTTCCCTGGGGCCAAGTCACACTTGCCACAGACCTCACTAACTTTGGGTTATTTAAATGCTGATTACCAAATGAGTGGTAATAAGAGCTCATGCCTCTTCTTTTTTACTTCCTAGTACTCACTTCTTGAGTTATTTTGTAATTTCAGGTCATACTGACCCTTAGCATCTGGGGCTGATGAATAAGAAAAAAACTCAAAGTAGCCAGTTTTACTGCCTGTCAGTAGTTGTTTTAAGAAGTCTAAAGGAAAAGGAGGTTGGCATTAGTGGTTAAAATGCAAAATCTGAAGGATTTTAATAGTCCATATGCCACCTAGATGCTATTTCCCATAACAAGGGGTTTGTTGTTTCTTTTGTGACTGCATTTTAATAATAAGATGGGGTGCTCATGAAGATGAGACTCAAACAATGATGTCTCAGTTAAAAAAAAAATTTGGTGAGAAACACTTGTTGGGTTATCTTTTAATGACAAGAAAGCAAACTAGGGTCAGGTAACTCATTTATGAATTGTTTGCTTTTCCGTAGTGGAAAAAATCCACCACCATCAAAGCAAATGTGAAATTTGTCCCATAGGTCTCTCTACTAGTTTTACAAATGGAGCCAGCTGTGGCCACTGAAGGGTGGGCCCCACTTCTCATTCTTGGCTCCTGGGTACCATCTATGAGTTGGTAATATGGCTTGCAGGTTTGGTTCTGATGGATCACTTTGGGTATCATTGGGTGAGGCCTAGTTTTAGGACACTGCTATCTTATGACTACATCCAAGAAGACCCAGCTCAGATCTGGTTGGAGAAAACGCCAATTACTGAACTTCAAATGGCAATGGTGGCCATCATATTCTCCACTGACTATTATAGTTGCTGCTGAATACCTTAGTGTTCTGAAAAAGTAAAATATGACCTAAATACTTACAAACAAGATTCATTCATTTGAAGAATCTATGTGGTCAATTAAAATGCATTGTGAAGTGCTATTCAACATTTTTAAAAGAGCTATTATTTATGTAAAACCTTTATTTTCCAAATTTCCAAGATATCATTCAAAATAGATAAATTTAGGAACACATCAAAAAGAAAATAAACATTTGGCTGGTATTAATTTAGCTTTTCTGACATCATGATACTTATGAATAACATAAAATAAACATGTTATAATGTTCAAAATGTATTATTAAGTGTTCCTTTTTCTCCCTCACAAAACGACATAAATTTAGGCCTAAAAAATAGCCTAGGACATTTTTGTATGCTGTAGGTATACAGATTGAGATCAGTTAAAACCTTTAGCATTCATTTTTTAGTGCCAGTTGTCATGGTAACCTAATCCTTATAAATACAATGAAAAGACAGTAAATGTGGAAACCTAAAAATAGCCATTCCCTTGGAAAATGGGAGAATGGCTGGGCCAAGTAACTAAAATACAAAGTAAAAAGCCTAGTTATTTCAGTAATTTTAAAGTCAGTTTTACAGTACCTAAAAGCATGTGAACACAATATATATAACATTTCAATAATCATTGTTATTAGAGCTAATCCTTGCAATTGAAAAACAGGCTCAATTTTACATAATTGCATTTTTTTCCCACTATCCCTAAGAAACAATAACCACCAGTTCATCAACCAATGAGAAGGGCCCAGGGGCCTAAGCAGGGTTTCCGAGGCAACGCATATGGCGTGTGTGCCTCCTCTCTCTCCGTGGTAAGGTTGCCTCAGTAAAACTTCCACAAATCAGCATCTTGCTGTTCCTCTCTAAACAGAGCCCAGTGACCTCCTCTGCCTCATCCCCTGCTCTGCCCCTCAAAGAGCTTCAGCAAAACACAGAAGCACAGCAGTGGCACGTGGATGAATACCTTTGTAAAAGAGAACCACGATCTTCTGAAAGGCTTTCATGAAATGGATGTTGTCGTAGCAATATTCCTGAACTTTCTGGAGGAGGATCAACTCTGACTGGCCTTGGGAGCTGAACACAGCCAGCAGGGGAGCATATTGCTAGAACAGAAGCAGAGAGTAAAAGCCGTTACGTGGAAGGTACAGGGCCGACACTGCTGGAACCATAACAATAACCTGGAGGGTTGTTTAGAAAAGATTCACTTTCAGGATTAGTACCTTCTTATCAACATATTGTGCCCAACGGGGTGAGGGGAACAGAACAGTAAGAACAAAGCAGTATGGTGGACCTGTGAGGGCACTGGGAAGAAGATTCACACTCTTTCAATGGCAGAGCCACAGTCCATTAATACAACGGAAGTATATGAGGATATGATCTCATTTTCACAATATCCCCTAGACATAGTAGGCACAGCAATTATCTTTAACACAGGCAGATTCTTTTATTTGGTCTCTTAGTGGGTACAGGGAAAGAATCTTGATGAGCTGCCAGGATAAAAAGCATTCATTTAGAAATGCCCTTGACTTTCTGACATTGATGCATAGCCACTGTTTTTTCTGAGACTTACTCAATTCAACACTTATCTCTTCCAAAGGGCCTTTCCTGATCAAAGTAACATGCACAGTTTACTCACTGCTATGTTTTCATGAACGCTGAGTGCAACCTTGAAAAATAATGGAAAGTATATGTTTAACCTGAGTCTGAGGTAATTGTAGTTGGAACCCATTTGTCTTAATTAAGACAAATGTGGGCCAGGTGTAGTGGCTCACACCTGTAATCCCAACATTTTGGGAGGCTGAGGCAGGAGGATCACTTGAATCCAGGAGTTCAAGACCAGCCTGGGCAACACAGTGAGCTGATAACTCTACCAAAAAATGAAGAAATTAGGCAGGTATGGTGGCATGCGCCTGTAATTGCAGATGCCTGGGAGGCTGAAGAGGGAGGATGGCTTAAACCCAGGAGTTCAAAGTTGAAGTGAGCCCAGATCGTGCCACCGCACTCCAGCTGAGGCAAGGCAACAGAGACTGTGTCTCAAAAAAAAAAAAAAAAAAAAAGCTGCAGTTTGCCCTTAGCTGGGTCAGTTTCTTGCTAAGAGCTGTTACCTTTAGGTGCTTCAGAGCCTGCTCTGCAACAAGTTCTTCCTTCTTGTTCCACTCAACAGCGTTCATTATACAGGTCCACAGAAGACCAATCACAGCTGTTTCTGGAAGATCATTCCTCTTCATTTCTTCTTTGACATAAAGCACCACCTACATTTCATGGAAATGGGGTCAGAAAGTATCAGACAGATGGAGAGCTCCCAGCTCCCACCTAGCTGCCCAGGCAATCAAGGCTTTGGGGCAGCTAAGAAACAATCTGCTTCGTTTCTCCTTTCCTTATCCACATTCTCAGACTGGAAGAGGGAGAAAAAAATATAATGATTTGTTCTCAAAGCAGATTTATTTTTAGTCCCAAAATTAATAGGCTTAGCTCTGGCCAGGAGCTGCTGGATAATGTGGAATAAGAGAGAATTTTTGTTTCTTTATAGAGAAACCCCTTTGAGTCTAGTAGAGTAGGGTTACTTGAGCCAGTTCGACTTTTTTGAGATTTAAAGAAGGCAATAGAATTGTGATCTTTTATCTCCATCCCTAAACTTTAAAATCTCTTGATAGAAACCATCTTGGGTTTGTACAAGTCCATTCTCCACAATTTATTCTTCAATGATTACTTTTGATGATCCTTATACCGCATCTCAATGAAAAGTTAATTTGTAAATGAATTTTAAAGTGCCAGGTCAATTTTTAAATTTCATGTATATATCAATTCAGCAATATTCAGCGACTTATTTTCCCCTTCGAATTATGTATAAATATGCAAATTTAGACTCAACCGTGACAGTATGGAATATAGGCTTGCCTAACGTATTTTATATCCAATTTATTTGGAAGGCTTTTTCCTTTTAAAATAAAATAATAAATGGAGAGGTTTGGGCCTCAGAAGTGATTAAAAGTCATCATATGTCTCCAGTATACTACTTTTGTGAGTAGTGGTAAAACCTTTTTTTCCTCCCTTTTCTTTTTTAGTGGAAACACATTGCTTTCTTTACTTCTGGTCTGGAGTGCAGAAATGACAGCAGTGACTTGAGTAGCCTTCAAAAGCAGAAAGAGCTGGGCAGTCCCAGTCCCTGCGTTGGCTGGAGGAAGTGTGATATCAGGGCATCTACGAGCATCACACGGCTTTTTGTTTTTGCTTTTTTTTTTCCCCATGGAAAATAATGTACAAGTTCTTGCTTGGAGAAATATGATTGAATATACTGCTAACCTTAATACCATGAGACATAAGAATATTTGTTATTCCAACACTCCCACCTGCTGGATACTATCAGTCCCACATTCTCCAGCCTTCAACCATGTGAGGTGCCATGCAGGGCTTGGAGCATGGAAGAAGGCGGTACAGGTCAGGCATTTTGGAGCAAGTGAAAAAAAAAAAGAAAGGACTGTATATATTAATTTTTAATTGTTGTGTTAAAGATTGTAAAACTTCAAACAGAAAGCTTTCTCCAGGTACATTAAAAATTTAAAAAGATAATAGTCATAGCTTTATGAACTATATAGCATGTATATACCATAGTTATACATATTATAAAAATACATGTATAGCTATGTATACATGTAGTTTTGTATATGCATATTATAAAAAATACAGATTTTACATTACAGGGGAACACTGCTATTGTGAGTGTCAGTGGGATTAAACAAGTCACTCATCCAACTAGTCTTTTCCCATGATGTGAATTCAAACTTTTCTTTTCCAAATAAAAAGCTGACATATTCATACACAGTGATGAACAAAAAATCCAGTGTGGATTCCAAATTTTATTGCAGGTTAGATAATCTGCAATAAAATTTAAAAACCACCATATAATGGGCTATACGGATAGTGGCTGGTCAAATCTATTCGACAGATGAAGTATTTTGATAATCATAGCAGCCCAGTAAAATAAGTCATTTGTGTGGCAATCACTTACTTTCTGGACCATCCTAGAATGTTAACAAAATAGATTCTGAATCAATACTTTGAAGCTTAGTTAATTTAAGTGGTAAGAACAAGTGGATAAAGGTTACAGTAGTAAGCACAGGGCAGTCTCCTCGAGGGAAGGAAAGCCTTTGTTAAACAGCCCATGTAATTCTCTCATTCATAAATATTGTGGTGATGTCTGCCCATGGTCTCCCACCTCCTTGATCGGGCATTCCTGAGAAAGACGCTCCTGGAGCTCCTTCTGCAGTTCCTTCCTGGTGCCCAGGGACTGCTGGACTCGGAGGAAGTCGGAAAGCTCCTTAAGACCTGCGTCAGTGAAGTATTTAGCAAAATGATCCACACTCTGTCTGTTAACTGGAAAGAGTTCCTGAAAGAGAAAAAGAGAAAAAGAGACAGCTATACAAGAAGCCATTCAAATTTCAGGAAGCATAAAGGACAAAAATCTTCATTTCACTTAGAATATCTCATACTTGGAAGAAAACAACAAGGACTGTTTTTCAAAACAACAAATTGCTGGTATATTTATTGAGCTAAACTCATCTTCTGAAATCAGGCAGTTTCACAAAGAAAGAGAAAAAAAAGCTACGCAATTGAGATAAACTTGGACCCTACTATGGCAGTATTTAGAGGTGAGGCTTTTAAAGAGTTACTGGATTATAAGGGCTCTGCCCTCATGAATGGATTAATCCATTCATGGATTAGTGGGTTATCTTGGGAGGGGGCCTGGTGGCTTTGTAAGAAGAGGAAGGGAGACCTGAGCTAGCACAGTCAGCTAGTATCACCATGTGATACTCTGGGCCTCCTTGGGACTCTGCAGAGTCCCCATCAGCAAGAAGGCCCTCACCAAATGCAGCCCCTTGACATGGGACTTAGCCTCCATAACTGTAAGAAATTAGTTCCTTTTCTGTATAAATAACCCAGTTCCAGGTATTCTGTTATAAGCAATAAAAAATTCTAAGACACCCACCCTACCAACTCTAGTTTATTATATAATTCTGATGGAAATTTTCAAAAAGAGCAATATACCAGAGCTGCTCTCATATTTTCACCTCATTTCCATTTTACCCTACACAGTTTGGCAGAATCTCAGTAACACTTAGTCATGATCTAATCCTGGGTGAGTTCAATACCCATCTAAGAAATTAAGGTGATTTTCAAAGCTCCCACATTTTTCAAACTGCTGCAGGGTCTAAAAAATATATCCAAGCTTTTGTATTGGTTAGACTTGCATATATGACCAATGGCTATGTGGTTCCAGGAAAAGCCTCAGTAGAAAGAACTGTAATGGGTTTGCCACCACCTAAAGGAACACAGCTGGAGGGCTCCTTTGTCAGAATTCAAATTTCAATGTTCTATCATCCTATTAATTTTCCCCATTGAGTCATATGTTTCAAAATGTCAGAAGAGAGTCAGTGGGAGCAGCTATCAAACACACATTCATAATAAAGCAAATATTTTATACCACACTGAAACTGCGTCACTGATATCTCCTCTACTGGTCCAGATCTTCCAAATCTGTAGGGCAGGGAACTAATTTATTTTTATTGAGTTTTTTCTATGAATCAGAATGTACTGGCACTTTCCTCATAATAATTGTGTAAAGCGGACATTTTTCTAGTTTCAAAAAGGTTAAGCAGCTTGACCCAATTTATGCCGCCAAAAATATTTAAAAATAGAGCTGTGTGCCCCAAAGTCAATATTTATTCCATTATTCTGTGGTAGCACTCAATATTCTATTTGGAAGAGTGTGATTGCAAAGTTTGACTTAAAGTTATGTCCAGAGCAATATGCCATTAAACACAATACTTGTACTTCACTTAGGAACTACATTCCCAGTTTTATTATTATTATTTTTTTGAGACAGAGTTTTACTCCATTGCCATGGCTGGAGTGAAGTGGCACAATATCAGCTCACCGCAACCTCTACCTCCTGGATTTAAGCGATTCTCCTGCCTCAGCCCCCCAAGTAGCTGGGATTATAGGTACACACTACCACCGCTGGCTAATTTTTGCATTTTTAGTTGACACGAGGTTTTACCACATTGGTCAGGCGGGTCTTGAACCTCAACCTCAAATGATTGGCCCGCCTCGGCCTCCCAAAGTGCTGCGATTACAGGTGTGAGCCACCATGCCCGGCCCAAATTCTTAAGAATAGTATATAATACACTGAAAATTATTCAGATTAAGTTGAGGGGAAGCCAGTCTAAATCACACCGTGTCATTTTTTTGGCTTGGAACATGGTTTGTATTTTTCAGAGAAACCCTACCCTGGTACAAATCTCTATCATCTCATCCCTGGATTAAGGTCTCCCTGCTTTTGCTCTTGCTCCTGAGTCTATTCCTAAAGTGACAGCCAGAGTGATGCTGTTGAAGCTCAAAAATCACATTACACACCATTCTGCAGAGAATTTCCAAAAGCTTTCTATCTCATTTGGAATACAAGCCAAAGCTCCAGATGATATGGGTCTTGTTATTTCTCTAGGCTGATCTTCTACACTTCTGCCCTCCCCATGGAGTCCCCAATAGCCATGCCCCAAGGCCTTCCCATTCTCGTTCAGTTTGCCTGGAATGCTGTATGTGGAGATATTTAAACAGCTTACTTTGCACCACCCTCAAGTCTTTATACAAATGTCATCACAGAGGTCTTTCCACCACCAAAAATTAACAGCCCACATTTGGAAGCTCTTTAACTCTTTGCTACTTAATATGGTTTTGTTTTGAGACGGAGTCTTGCTCTGTCTTCCAAGATGGAGTGAAGTGGCACAATTTTGGCTCACTGCAACTTCTGCCTCCCAGGTTCAAGTGATTCTCCTGTCTCAGTCTCCGAAGTAGCTGGGATTACAGGTGTGTGCCACCACTCCTGGCTAATTTTTTGTATGTTTAGTAGAGACGAGTTTTCAACATGTTGGCCAGGCTGGTCTTGAACTCCTGACCTCAAGTGATCCACCCACCTCAGCTTCCCAAAGTGCTGGGATTACCAACACACCCGGCCCCTACTTAATTTTTACCTTTATTATAATACATATTTAATGGGTTTTAGTTTATGGCCCATTCTCCTGAAATAGAATAAGCTTTATGAAGGAAAGGGTCTATACGTTTGGTTCCTTTCAATCTCCCCAGCTCTTGGAATTTTCTGGCATATAATATGATCAATACATACTTAATGAATAAACAAAGGAAGAGAGCAATATCTTCAATTTCTTTTTTTTTTTTTTTTTTGAGACGGAGTTTCACTCTTGTTACCCAGGCTGGAGTGCAATGGCACGATCTCGGCTCACCGCAACCTCCGCCTCCTGGGTTCAGGCAATTCTCCTGCCTCAACCTCCTCAGTAGCTGGGATTACAGGCATGCGCCACCATGCCCAGCTAATGTTTTGTATTTTTAGTAGAGACGGGGTTTCACCATGTTGACCAGTATGGTCTCGATCTCTTGACCTTGTGATCCACCCGCCTCTGCCTCCCAAAGTGCTGGGATTACAGGCTTGAGCCACCGCGCCCGGCTATCTTCAATTTCTTAATCACCATTTGCTTTGTCAGTAATAAGGGCTGGCTTCTCCCATCCCCTCTCCTCTCTGAGTTGCTATAAATTGTTCTTTCTTCTGTATTATAATAGTGGGTGATAGCTAAAGTCTAGTGAAACACTAATTTTCCTAAAATGTAGTAGTTCAGAGTTAAAGAGGATCTTGTTGTATATGTTCATGAAATAAAATTTCCTTCTTAAGAGTGGAACAGACTCACTAGTTTCTCATTCTCTTGTTGATTTGACAACCATCAGGCAGGAATAGTGCATAGGAACTAACCTGTCCTCCCCCAGTTTATATGTTTCTTGCAGAAACCATCACCTATGTTTCATATATATATATATAAACACACACACATATACACATACACACACACCCTAATAAAAACAGCTAAATGACATGTGTTTCCAAAAAGAAAAGGAATTTTGTGAATGAAGCAATCTAATTAAGTTAACCAGCTATGGTTGTAAGTATATTTAAGAAAACTACTGCTTTAAGAAATAACTGGAAAGATTGTATCTTTGTTTCCAATTATCCACCTCCTCTCCTTCAAGAGGGTACTAAGAGAACCCCCTCCTTGCTATGTCTATCTGCAGAGGTGGAGAAGAAGCCTATTAGTGGACTGGATTTTCCTAGTCTATTGCCAGACACGGCAATAATCCATAGGTGAGTTTTTAAGGTACTTGAGAGGTTCAGTTCAGTCGCTGTGTTCCAGTACTCTGCCTTGAAGACAGACTGGCCCAAATGGGAGCTGCTCCTTCAGTCTTGGTCCCCGAATTGAAAAGGCATGTGGAAACGAGCCAGGCTTAGCCAAGATAGAGCTAACCTACAGACAACCCACAGCCTCATGGACAAGAGATATGCTCTCTTTATATGAACCTCCACCTTTCTCAGGAAATTATTCCCTAATTTTCTGCAAATTTTGCTTCTATTTATAGGGATTTGCACTAAGTCCACTAGAAAGTAGGTTCCACGAGGGCTAGGAACTTTTCTATCCAGTCCTCTATGGGCTTTGCAGCTTGTGGTACCATGCCCAGCAGAGTTGGCATTCGGTAAATGTGTGAGGAATGAAAATTATTACGAACTAGAATCTAGACTTCTGTACAGCTTAAGTATTTCCAGAGAAATCTTGTTTAAACTTTTATTTTTTAGCACACTATTAACACACATTTGCAATTAGTGCACTCTGACTGCTACTCAAGACAGACACCACAAGTATTTGATGAAGTGAGATTGATGAAATTTTCATCGTATTAAAACCTTAAAATGTCTAGAAAGTTATGGTTATAGGCTGGGTGTGGTGGCTCACACCTGTAATCCCAGCACTTTGGGAGGCTGAGGTGAGTGGATCACCTGAGGTCAGGAGTTTAAAACCATCCTGGCCAACATGGTGAAATCCCGTCTCTACTAAAAAAATACAAAAATTAGCTGAGTGTGGTGGCAAGTGTCTGTAATCCCAGCTACTCAGGAGGCTGAGGCAGGAGAATCATTTGAACCCAGGAGGCGGAGGTTGCAGTGAGTGAGACTGTGCCACTGCACTCCAACCTGGGTGACAGAGACTGTGTCTCAAAAAATAAAAGTTACAACCATAAAACTAAGTCTTAATTTTGATGAAATGCTAATACTATGTGAACAAACTCGCAAATTTGAAAGCCTAAGATTCTTTAATTTTATTGTGCCATTTGTTGACACAATAAATATTAAATGAAATTAGTTTCTACTACCAATTACACAGAAATAAAAGAAACAGTACTTCAAGCTGACACAGATCCAGGGATCTTACTCATATACTACATTGCAGGCATTGCTTACGCTCCAAGAAAGGCATCATACATACAACTCTTTGACCAGAAAACACTTACGAGCAGCCTCTTGTCTAAGTTGGCTTTTCTCAAAGACGAGGTAACAGAGTTGGCATCTTTTTCTGCCATCCATGCTTTAAAAAGCTTGACAGCAAATGAGGCTGCAATGCCTGTTCAAAAACGAAAGAGAATTCCTTTTATGGGCAAAACCAATTGTGATGCTGTGCGAAGCAATCAGGTTTCCTGAAATGCGTAAATAACTAAAAGACTAAATTTGGTACACAGGAAAAGTCAATAGACCTCTAGGCAAAGTTCCCCTCATTACTGAAAATAGAACATTTTCAAGAAAAGGAAAATAAATTAAAATATTTTTAAACTTTGACTCCTTTAATCCAACCAACACGGTCTAACTGTAAGTTTATTTTATTTTACCTTGGTCAAAAACACCCAGTATCTCTGGGGCTATTACCTTTTATTTCACCCTCTAGTTCATAAGTATTTCATGTTTATAACAGCGATCTTGAGGCACAAGAAAGTAAATTAGTAGACACAAAACTGCAATGTCAACCTTTATCACTAATTTGCTAATAAAGGATGCCAGTACAAGAACACTGAGAGTGATAGATAAAATAATTATTGCTACAAATAGACAAACATGCATCATTTACTTTGGTTTTGCTTTTTATAAAAAGGATTTTATTTACTATTATTAGTTTTTTGAGATGGAGTCTCACTCTGCTGCCCATTCTGGAGGGCATTGGCATGATCTCGGCTCACTGCAACCTCCGTCTCCTAGATTCAAGTGATTCTCTTGTCTCTGCCTCCCAAGTAGCTGGGATTACAGGCATGCACCATCAAACCCAGCTAATTTTTGTACTTTTAGTAGAGACAGGGTTTCACTATGTTGGCCAGGCTAGTCCTGAACCCCTGACCTCAGGTGATCCACCTGCCTCGGCCTCCGAAAGTGCTGGGATTACAGCCATAAGCCATTGTGCCCTGCCATAAAAAGCATTTTAAAATATTCCTGAGTTAAGCTATAAAAATATCAAGGCTGTTTCAAGCTAAACTTTTCTGAATTTTAAAAAACGGTTATTAAGCTAGTTATGTTAAATCAGGAAGCCATTCAATCACATGTCCACATGTATATTATCACTTATTTCCAAATAGAAATAATCAGATCACAAGAAGACAGTTCTTCGAGCACTTCAAATTTCTAAATTTAGGGTGTGGTTATTTAATGAAAAGTTAAGATGTAGTTGAAAAATTGAACTGAGTTTTCTAAACTGAAGGTTCCACTTCGTTGGTGGCCTATGCAGCCTCTATTCTCTTTACCTTTATCCTAAGAGAAGTCCCATTTTATCCAGGTCGGGTGACTATTGATTACTCTAAGTCCTAGTACCACCTCTTTCTGATGATTAATTTAGTGACCTCACTTAGCCTCATCTGCCCAAGGCACCCTCCTGGCAATTGCTACAGACCTGCACTGGTTATGCAGTCTGTGGCAGCCAATCAGCTGAAGGAAAGATAAATTATCCTATGCTCAGGAGATGTGTTCCTCCACCGAACCTGAACCAGGAAGAATCTTCCATAAGTGTATCAACAGACATCTTATAACACCTAGAGGGGGCACCATCCTTGGGATGAAGTTAATGCTCTGAATGATAACAGAAGAAAATACTTAAGTCCTGAGTAATATTACTGTTCAGCCTGAAGTCTGTCCTAATTTTCTATTTATTATTACATAAGAAATACATCCTTATATATTAATTTGACCCAGGTCTTCTAGTAACTGGAAGGTAAAAGCATTTAATTGCCCTATCAGTCAGATAGCCACCAACTAAACCTGATTTTCTTCTCTTGAATAAGCAGAGAAACTAAGTTTTAAAAAAATGGCTATGACAATAATACATGCATTACACGTAAACTGAAAGTTTATGTTAAACAACTTTTTAAAATGAATTTTTAGCATTATCATTAGCTTATAAAACCAATATAGTTTGGGAGGCCGAGGTGGGCGGATCACGAGGTCTGGAGTTCCAGACCAGTCTGGCCAACATGGCGTAATCCCGTCTCTACCAAAAATACAAAATTAGCTGGGTGTGGTGGCCGAGTAATTACAGCTACTCGGGAGGCTGGGGCAGGAGAATCGCTTAAACCCCAGAGGCAGAGGGTGCAGTGAGCCAAAATCACCCCATTGCACTCCAGCCTGGGTGACAAGACCAAGACTCTGTATCAAAAACAACAACAAAAAACCCAACATAAATTTTAATACAAATTAACACTAGGCTGTAATCTGTACTGTAACTAAAGAAAAAGTATGCTTGAAACTAGGAGTCTAAAATTGAGATTTAACTTTCTTTATAGTTACTCCTCTACTGAATAGAATAATCCCATCTCACCTAGCCATTTATTGGATAGGGAGTTGGGGAAAAGTATAATTTCTTAATCATTTTCTTTCTCTCTCTTTTTATTTTAGATGGTCTTTCTCTGTTGCCCAGGCTGTAGTAAGATGATGGGATCACAGCTCACTGAAGCCTCAAACACCTGGGCTCAAGCAATCCTCTTGCCTCAGTCTCTCGAGCAGCTGGGGTTGCACAGGTGTGCCAACACACCTGGCTAGTTCTTTAATTTTTTTTTTTTTTTGTAGAGAAAAAAGTCTTGCTATATTGCCCAGACTGGTCTCAAACTCCTGGCCTCAAGCAATCTTCTTACCCCAGCTTCCAAAATTGTTAGGATTATAGTCATGAGTCACCATATCCAGTCTATTTCTCAATCCCTTTTCAATTAGGAAGCAACAGTTTAAACCTCCAGTTTCTAAAAGATGGTAGAGTTTAAGGAAAAGCCATATGACAGAGACACTATGTTACTTCCATAGCAAAGTTATTTTTCTTCTCATCATGCCCCCAATATTTTACTGTAATAATTTCTAGACATACAGAAAAGCTGAACAAATTGAACAATGAACACTCATATGCCTACCATCTAGTTTCTACAACTAATATTTTGCCATATTTGCTTTATCACATGTCTATCCATCTAATAATGTAACTGTTGGATATATCACAAAGGAAGTTACAGACATCACAGGTTTTAAAAAGAACTAGAAAGGCAATTATTTTCTGTTATGTTGGCTAGGATAATATAAAAATAATTAATAATTGACATTTGTATTTTATGTTGATTTTCTGTGTGTAAAATGGCAAACAGCAAAAATAAGAAGTGTGTTGTACTGTGAATTTTCTTCAGGGAAATACTTTAAAATGTCATAATACTAATAACATCCAACAGTTATAGAGTCTGAATTGTCATAAATCTGAGTGATTTTTAAGCTAAAAACTAGAGAGAGTCTCTGAATAAGACCAATTGACTCTCAATTTACTATTCTTTTCTTAGCAATAAGAAAACTATAGCCCCTTTCTTTCACTACAGGCATGAATGAGGCTAGGGCTTCATATATGTAGGAGGAAAACTTTTTAACTTCTCAGAAGAAACAGATGTTCTCACAAAAGCTCTTTTAATTTATTATTAAGGAAAAATAACTGTGTTTTGTGTTGCATTGTAATTTGACTATCATTCTCCTCCTACAAGTAAACAGCCCCACTTTTGTTTTATTCTATAACCAAATCATGGTATGCATGCCTGTCCAACTCTTTTAATGCCTTAAAATTAAAACAAGAGTCCTTCCAATGCAGCAGACTTAAAACTGTTTTCTAAAACTGAGACAAAACTGTTTTCTAAAACTGAGACAATGTGTATCTTAAAAAGTGCAATCAAAATGAATATGTGAACATCAGTTCCTCTAGACCTTGAGAGGGGGATATTTTTGGTTGTTGTAACAGCGGGGACAGTTAAAGGCTGCCATTTTGTGTCAAAGGGCAAAAAGATTAGATGTCCCAGAAAGAACAAAATATTCTTCCAAAATGAAGAACTGTCCTAACCTAATATGCCAGGAGCATCTAAGCTGAGAGAAATTATTTAGACCAGGTCAGTTTCAGGGTATTTGACCTAGGCATCAAGTCTTCCATATGAGATTTTAATTTGCTATTAGTCTTTCTTAATACGTCTTTGCACAGGTATGCATACTTTTTCCTTCAAATTTCCTACAGTTAACAAGTCCACTCCTTTTATTATTTGAAAGGCGATATACACACATCCACAGATATTCTCTTGTGTGAAGAATGAGTAGTAGAGACACCAAAAAGAGCCACTGGCATTTTCTAACTCTCTGTGGCTTGATTCTTCTTTTGTTGTCTGACAGGTGAGAAAACAGGAGCCTCCTTACCTTCTTTGACTAAGCTGTCAGTGAAGAGACTGGTGAGGATGGTGGCGGGCAGGGTGCCATTGCCCAGCAGAATCCCTGACAGCATCGCCAACTTTGTTTGCTCTGTTTCAGAAAAGGCTTTAAGAAAGAGGAGAAGCTGTGGGTCAAAAAAAAACAAAAAACAAAAAAACAAAATGAAATCATGTCTATGAAGCAAAAGACTGAAGTTGGAAGATAAACAGTGTGAACATCCATGGCTAAGTGGCACACACACAGTAGGTCATATGCAAAGCATAATTTCATGTCATGATAAACTGGATGCTGTGGAAAGTGAGTTGAGCAGGCAGGGTTCCTCTCTTCTCAGTTCATTTGCTCACAGCTGTAGATAACGTTCATGGGAAGGAAAAGAGATATTTGGATGACATGTAAACAGATGGATTTACGTTTGACTATGTGCATGCAAAAGGGTTAAATATACACAATGGACATGTTTTCTGAAATGTATTGTTTTTCAAATTTTTCCACTTCTTTGGGTGACTACCTCTTCCCCTGCTACATGTACCCATTTTCTCTGAATAGAATTTTTGTGGCAAAAACATACAAACAAACAGCCCCACAAATACAAAAAACCAGGAAAGAGTTGATGTTAAGCTTTGACGTTTAATATATACTATTCTGAGCTCACAGAACACAACAGTCTTCAAAACAAGACTGCTGAGGGAGAAAGCTGTTTTCTAGGTCCTTGATTTTCTTTTTGTCAACTTTTAGATTTTCTTGCCCCAAGAGGCAGGGGGACCTGAAAAAGTAGCAACCCTAGAATGTTTGAATGTAAGCTAAAGGCAAACAAAACATAAAACTCAAATTCTAAGAGTTTGGAATTTAAACTGTGGGACGCCCTTCTCTTTCCTAACTCTCCTCTGCTTTGTGCTTTGACTACATTCTACTGTTACTTTCTCCATTTCACCAGTTACTAACTAGGCTTGCCATGGAAATTCCTCAGAGGCCACTATCACTGCAGGGGCCTTGCAGATTTTCCATGATTTTGCACCAATGCAAAAATCACTGGCATTGATAAAACAAGTGTCTCCATCCTAATGATACAATATTCCACTAACTGCGTAGGAGGTAAGAAAATATTAATTTACTATGCCCCAACAATTGAAGAATTATTGTATGATAGACTATTTACATTATGTGTAAGTGACAGAACCGAAACCAAACCAGTCCATTTGAATCTCAATTTATACCTACTAGATTCTCAACAGATTAAAAAGAAGTTACCATCTAAGTAAGTGCCAGGGAGTGAGGGAATGAGTGTTTCAAAGGCTTAAGTTCCAAGGAGCACCAAGAATGGGGAAGAGTGAAAGAACTATCATAACATAGAGACTTCATGTCAATTTGTCCTTTTCCTCCATTATAAAAATAAACAATATTTAAACGAGAATAATAAAAAATAGCCTCTAAAATAAAATTTTAACACCACTTCCTTAAGCTCACAAATGTAATCATATTCCTTTAAAATATACTTAATCACATAGAAGTGGTAGAAAAATTAGGTCATCTTAAAAATAATAACCACATTGTCCAATTATATTAACACTAAAATACAACAAAAACATAATTTAATCAACATCAAAACATAATTGCATGTATACACACATATTGTTTTTTATTGCATTATATGCTGATGATAGCTAAAGCTTGCTGAGTGGACCAGATACTCTTCTGATCAATTTATGTGTATTAATACCTACAACAGGCTCGATCTCCAATTACAAAACATTAAGGTACAAAGACATTAACTAATTTGCCCAAGGTCAAACTACTACCAAATAGCTGCTTTGTATCTTGCGTTTCCATTTAATTTGTTATGCACAATTTCCCTTATTAATACATGGAGTTATGCCTCATTATTTAAAAGACTGCATAGTATTCTATTGAATAGATAGACTGTAATTTAATTAACCAGTCTTCCTCTCCCACCAATGAACATTTAGGCTATTTTTCAATACTTCAGTGACATCTTTATACATATAGCTTTATATATCCATGGAAATAGATTCTTATCAATCCATGATGGCTGGGTCATGGGTCATATAAGAAAAATTTCTTTTAATGACTATTGCCAAATTGCTCTTCAATATTATACATGGAACCACTTTGAATGGGGTGGAGCAGGGAAGGGGAGAAATGGGGAGAGTAAGTAAATAGGGAAGAAATATATGTTATGCTAACTTTTTTACTTTTTTAGTTTAGTTAGATATTAAAATTGGAAACAATGACAAATCTGAAACAAGTAAATGTAGTGGGTGCTATACATAAATACAGGAGTTACCAACTGGAAGAGGGAACATGCAATTACTCAAAAGAGGCCATCTTTTAAGGAGATGCTACTGTTGATTTGACTAGAGACCAATTACTACACTGAGCCCCTTATGTGTTATCCCATATAATTCCCACAACCACCACGAGGTATGCCTCTTATTACAGCTATTTCCCTGATAAGAAAGAGCACTGAGATTTACACCCATACACTCTTATCTCCAAAGATATGTTTTTATTCCCTTTGCTACAAAAAAAATCAAAGAATTTTACTGAACATTAGCTGCTGTGCTATGTTCTTTCACAGGCTTTAACTACTTAAATCACTTTATCTTGATTCTAGTTTTCATTTTAATTTTTAACCTCTGTAAGATCAGAGATTATAGTCCATAAAACTATTCTTACTGAACAAAGCACACTGTCTTACATTAAATATTAATGGAAAAAATGCAGAATAATTACATATTTCTTCCTATGGCTATTAAATTATGATCTTTCACACTCATCTATTTATTAAACATTTATTACGAACTTACTATGTGTTTCACATTCATGTTACTATGTATATGGCACTTTGGAGTATCATTGTACATTTAAAATTTTTATCCCCTTCCATTTCATTACTATAAAACAGGTAGGCATTGTATCTGAATTTTACCTTTTTCATTTCATCTTCAAATGCCTTTTCCAAATACTTATATCTCCTGATGAGTTTATTGAAGACCTAAACATAAAACAGAACCATAAAATATTAGGTCAACCAAAAAGGCATAGGAGATATAGGAACTCACCATGATGACACCGTAGATCTACATTAATAAATATGTATAGTTAAATACTCTCACACTGAAATATGAGAACTATACGCATTTCAAAGATGTTACCATGACCTAGGGGGAAAAAAATAGGATCAAAATGCACATGTAGGAGAAAACAAATTCATTCAAGAATATAGTAGATAGGAAAAAAAAACTTTGATGAAAATAAATGTGATTTTCAAACTGTGAGATGCAGAGATTGAAAATCACTGAAATGAAGCTGTTAAAGATATCATCACTTAGATAATGATGCGATGGAGAGGAGAGCAAAGTGCAGGACAGATTCCACTCTAGGTGGACAACAATATGCTTCTAGCAGATGAGCAAAAAATGTTATAATTTACTGGCAATACAGGATGGCTGTCCCCCATAATCCTGTTAGAACTCTAATGCAGGGTTTGCAATTGTATCAGCAGGATTCTAGACAGTTTTGTAAGTGGAATGATGTTTTTATTTAAATGGGGATTTTGCAAATATTGGTTATTTTAATAACTCTGGAAATGCTTTCTTAACCTAGTTCCTAATTCTCCTGCCTCAGCTTCCCAAGTAGCTGGGATTATAGGTGGCTGCCACCATACCTGGCTAATTTTTGTATTTTTTAGTAGAGACAGGATTTCACCACGTTGGCTAGGCTGGTCGCAAACTCCTGACCTCAAGTGATCCGCCTGCCTTGGCCTCCTTAAGTGCTGGGATTACAGGTGTGAGCCATGCTACTAGGCCTATTCTTGTAGTTTGAATGCCCATTCTTTTCATGTTTAAAATCTATCTAAGACTCCTATTTAAAAAGTGAGTGGGCTATAGAGATTCTGTAGTGTTTCCCTCAATCCTCTTCAATGCTTCAAGGGCAATCTCTCAAATAAGCTCTACCTGAGCATAGTTTCGGATGGTTTCATGATCTTCATTTGCTGAAAACACACAGTGGTTGGTCATCTTGGTCTTGTCACCATCATCTATGCGTGTTCCTCCAGGGGCTGAAAAGAGAAAGGTAATTACAGTTAGGATAATACTGAAATTGAGAACAGCATTTGCAGAACTGATCAATTCTGTCAAATGAAAGAAAATAATGAAAGTACATGTGAAGTGTAAGAGTCACATAAAATTTCAAAGAATGACACACAAGAATAGATGTACACATGCTCCTGTATATTTTTTCCTTTTTTTTTTTTTTTTTCTTTTTTTGAGACAGGGTTTCACTCTATCGTTAAGACTTGAGTGCAGTGGTGCAATTATGGCTGACTGCAGTCTCGACCTCCGGGGTGCTCAAGTGATCTTCCCACTTTAGCCTCCCAAGTAGCTGGGACCACAGGTGTGTGCCAACATGCCTACCTATTTTTTTTGTAATTTTTGTAGAGACAGGGTTTTCCTATGTTGCCCAGGCTGGTCTTTAACTACTGGGCTCAAGTGATCCTACTGCCTCAGCATCCCAAAGTGCTGGGATTACAGGCATAAGCCACTGTACTTGGCCTTGTGTACTTCATGTTTCCAATATAATACAAATTAGTTGTTTCATTTCATACTCCCACCACAGTGTCCTTCATTTTTGTTCCATACCCTTGCCTTCACTACATCTTATCACTATAAGTCTGGTTCTTTCCAAAGTATATTCTTAATCATGGAAGCTAAAGAACAACCTTCATTCAGTAAATTTTATTTCATTATTCTCAATGCAATTCCAGATACTTCCCACTCCAGGACATAGTTCTTTCTTCAGGCTTGCTAACATTTTCCAAGTATTTTGCAGATACTCTACACTATAGAACTGACCAGACATGACTCATACATCTTTTTGCTTTCTACTTGGGTAGCTATTACCATTGCCCTCCTTCACTAACCCAGTTATCCATGCCTGGCTGAGTAGCATGGACTCCAATCCTTGCTATTCGTATTTGATAGCCCAGCTGCTATGTTGGCTAGGAGAGAGTATTTTAATCTCTCACCTTTTTTTCCCCCATGGACTTAATAGACTAGAACCAAAGAATGCCTTTTTCTTTATTTAATTAACTTTCCAATGATACTTCAAAAATGTCCTCCTCTAAGTTTCAATGGTAGCCATTAGAAACAGTTGATTAGAAGCGCAGAAAGAGAACATTAAGAATTTCTGTTTTCTAATTTGACTTTGATGTAATTAAGGTAGAAGGTTTGAGTGGGCCAAATTAGATTAATATCTTTCATATACACAACAAATGTTTGCAGTGTACATACTTACAAGCGTTTGCAGTGTATATACTTACAAGTGTTTGCAGTGTATATACTTACACCAGCTACTGTGCTAGGCACCAAGTATACAACAACGGTCAAAGTTGAAAAGACAAACACTCTTTACTCATTAGCTACTCCCTTCATATGTTTGTATGTTGGTGTATAACCACCTTGATTTAACTGGTGATTTCAGGATCTCTGTATTAAAAGGGCCACCCACAGTCACCTTTGTTAGCAGATACAGGGAAATGAGAATTCAAGTGAGTCATACTTTTCTTAGCTTATCATTCCCTCTATGGGCTTCAGACTCCAGCACACAGTTTTGTAAGTAAATTAGTTTTCGGAGAAGTCATCTTCTTCAGGAGTCTCTTTTCACTCAATTAATTTATGCATGAGATTTAATTAGCCCTTTTAAATGAATACAACCACCTGGAACAAACTTTTATTAAGATAATCATCTTCTAAAAACTTTGGGATAATTATTGCTATTGCTTTTGATAGAAATTACATAACTGAAAAGTTTGATTTTGAAACTGTAGACTTTTGAGTTGAGAGGTATGTTTTTAAAGTTACATTAACAAAATAAAACATTACACATTAATAATATTGCTACAGCTTGCATTAAACTTTTTTTCACTGATATTACGACCAAGTATTGTTTGCATTCCTAATGTTTTTGGAGTGCCTGCTGTTTTTCTCAAGATAGAGGTAGAAGTAAACTTAATATACTTCTTGTATTTACTATACAAAGGACAATATTGAAAGACCAGATAGCTGTTGTTCTAAAAACAATGAGGTCAGGCATGGTGACTCATGTCTGTAATCCCAGCACTTTGGGCCGGATCACCTGAGGTGGGAGTTCAAGACTGGCCTAGCCAACATGGTGGAAACCCCGTCTATACTAAAAATACAAAATTAGTCAGGCGTGCTGGTGCATGACTGTAATTACAGCTACTGGGGAGAACTGCCTAATTCTAGGAGATGGAGGTTGCAGTGAGCTGACATTCCAGCCTGGGCAACATTAAAAAAGAAAAAAATGAACAATGGAAGAAGGTAAACTGTGAGTGTCAAGAAAATTTCTACATGCTTAATAATGAAAGAAAGTATTTATATAAGAAGAATGCACCTAGCTGGCTTCAGTCCTTACATTCTACATCAGACTTGATAGACATCTGATGTTGTACAGCTTGTGCTATGTAAGTCACACGAAGCATTTGGCCCTACCTTCTTCTTGAATGTATATACATGGAGGGAAGAAGTGAAATCTGGGCTGCAGAGATAAATGTACTGATCATGGTAAATGAAACTTTAAGAAACTCAATACAAAGTATACAGATAATTTTGTGTGGGGAGGCAGTTAACGATGGAAGCCAGGAGTAATGTAAAAAGTGGCATCCAGAGAGTCAGGAGAAGGTCTAAGGGGTCTCGTGTAAGGGAAGAAAATAAAAGAGTTCAAGAATGTCAGAAAGGGTCCATAAGCGACTAGCACAGTGGTGTGACTTTGGCAAGAACCAAAACTCGCTGAAGATCACTCTGATAAAAACACATCATAATTGATGAAATACTAGAAGTCAATAGTATATTAGGAAATATTCAACTTCGCTATTAAAAGTTTTAAAATGAAAATACTTATCACTTACCTAATTGACAAAGATCTAGAAAACTGATGAAACTGACTAGCTAACATTGTTAAAAGTGTATGTAAATAGTAACTCATAATTTTTGATAAATTATATATAATATTCCTTTTGAAGACTGGTTTTCTCTCTAAGCTAGGTAGATGAAGATAGATATAAATATCTCCATCTTTTATTTAGTCCATTAATCCCTTGCTAAGTAGATAAAGATGTAATCAGGTAAAAGCACAAAGATATATATGTGCATACAGACACTGATAACTGTTGTTTATAATAGCAACAACTGGGAAGTAGACTAAATATTCTTTAACATCAGCTGGCTTTAATTCTTTTTAGAATCATCCAGTATAACACTCATGGGTATGCAAGGCAGCAACATATTGCTGAATAAATAGACATCATTATTCAAAATATCGTATTTGCATAGTATCACCCATTCTCAAGAGTTTATGAGGTAAAGAGTTTTTTTTTGTTTGAGACAGAATGTCCCTCTGTCACCCAGGCTGGAGTGCAGTGGTACAATCTCGGCTCACTGCAACCTCCGACTCCCAAGGTCAAGCGATTCTCCTGCCTCAGTCTCCTGAGTAGCTGGGATTACAGTGGCCGCCACCATGCCCAGTTAATGTTTGTATTTTTTATAGAGATGGGGTTTCACCATGGTCAGGCTTCTTGAACTCTTGACCTCAGCTGATACACCCGCCTTGGCCTCCCAGAATGCTGGGATTACAGGTGTGAGCCACCACAGTTGGCTGGTAAAGAGATTTCTAGAAGTAACCAAAATATTAACAATGATTATTTGTGGGTTATGGGATTTGAGCTCAACATGGATAGCTGTTAGACTTGAATTATCTACAGTCATAATGTGAGCTCTTCATAAACAATAAGAACAGCCAAAGTAATTCAGGATGTGGTGAAAACCAGCAATGCAGAATGACAGAAGGCCTGGTAGTCAATGGGGCCATGTGCCAAAACAGATTGCTTGAAATAAGAGCTCAGAGAAAAAGGAATTTAAGGGCAGTTCCACCTCAAGATGGAGGAATGTATGCACAGTTTTTTTCAAAGCCAAGGTAGGCTGGCTTAAGCAGTGTTTTCTCAATAAAAGGCAATGATGCCATTTTGGGCAAGGCAATCTTTCATTATGCTGTATATTTTTTTGCACAGCAGAGTAGACAGATATCTGCCTTCTCTGCTGAAGTTTTTTTTAACAACCAGAACACTTGTACATTTTTGCAAACTGAAAATTCCTTTAACCTACCTTTAATGACTTCTAATCCTCTGTCTTTAATTTTGTAGTTATAATTTATTTTATTTTTTACTTTAGGTTCTGGGGTACATGTGCAAGACATGCAGGGTTGTTGCATAAGTGCATACATAACCATGTGATTTACTGCCTCTATTCCCCCATCATCTATACCCGGCATTTCTCCCCATGTTATCCCTCCCACCCACCCCACCTTCCTCTGACGCTGCTGTCCCTCCCCTATACCCCCACAACTAACCCCAGTGTGTGATGCTCCTCTCCCTGAGTCCACATGTTCTCATTGTTCAACACCCACCTATGAGAGAGAACATGCGGTGTTTGGTTTTCTGTTCTTGTGTCAGTTTGCTGAGAATGATGGTTTCCAGATTCATCCATGTCCCTACAAAGGACATGAACTCATCGTTTTTTTATGACTGCTAGTATTCCATGGTGTATATGTGCCACATTTTCTTTGTCCAGTCTATCATTGATGG